GTGTGTGTGTGTGTGTGTGTGTGCATCACATCAGTCTCCTGCATCTTTGTATTATCTGTTGTTTTTTTCTTACTACACTGATACAAATCATTGTACCATTTGCCAAAAACCAGACTACAGTCCAAAATTGAATTTTTATTTTTTTAATGAATCATAAAACTTCAAAGCCGGTGGATTAACATGCAAAAACAGGTTTAATTTCCTATGAATTTGTTGCTTAAACGTGTCACACTGTGTCTGTTCTGTGAATTATTGTGGTTTAGCAATGATGCATAAATAGTAATCTATAAATCATCACTTACAGCATGTTTGTAAATGATTAAACTTCCAATAAAAACTCGACCAGGGTTACAAGAAACTGTTAATCAATCATAAACCACACAGTGTTTGGACATGAGCTGGAAAAATGGGCTGCCAAGTGACTGTAGAGTGGACAACCAGGTGATCTGGCAGAGACAATATATACATTGAGTCACAGAAGAGAGGAAGAAGAGGAAGTCATAGAAAAGGAGAAGACTATGAGAGCAGGGCAGACAATCACAACAGAAGGAGACAAAAACAGAAAGTAAAATTATCAAAGGTAATATCCAAAACACAGCAACATGAAGATGAGATGTGAAGACTGACACTAAAAAAGATGTCGGACGAAGAGACAGAAAGGACGAAGGCACTGAAGGAGAGACAAGACGGAAGGAGATGAAAGAGAAGCACTAATAGCAATGCAGTCAAAGCAGGGACCATGGAGTGAATCACATTAATTCCATCAGGAAGTTTTACTGAAAGGTGAAACTATAAAGATTAAAACTGATAACTTCGTCATCAGAAGGACCCAGCAGAGCTGGTTTGGTTATCTGACAACAACCAGGAGGAGGCCCCAGGGAAGACCCATTACAAGCTGGAGAGATTGTATCTGTCGACACTATGAGCTGGTTAAGGTGGCCGGGATGTTGGAAGTCTGGGCTTCTCTGCTCAGACTGTTGCCTCCACGAACTTAAGATAAGGGACAAATGGAAACTGATCGCTAGAATAACAAAGAAATCAAACAGGAGCCAAAACTCATGTGAACTCAAATCCATCTAGAAAAAAAAATCTGGATGATAACAGAATGACAAATGTTCCTGCTTATGTGCAGAGGTAATGAATTGTTCTGAAGGATTTTACAGCTTCTTTTAAAACCTTCATCTGTCATTTGAGAACTGAACAAAAGAGACTGAGAAAACTCTTAATACTTAGAGTATTTTTGTAGAGTATTCAGTGTCACTGAAATACCTGGTTAAACCTCCTAGGACCTGGCGTCCACATATATGGACATCACATTTTGGGTTATTTAGACTAAAATACTAAATTTTGCTCTACAAGGGCCTGATATCCACTTACGAGGACATTATACTGCTACTGTTCTATCAAAATTGTAAACGAATGCCCTCATATGTGGCTCTTATTTTTCTTAAAAATAAAAACAAGGTTGAAAAAAAATCTGGTAATTCTTTGTTTTTACATTCATCGGACCCCAATCAGCCCAAATATAAAGAGAAATTAAAAATGCATGCCGTGGAAGAGTTCGGGTCTTAGGAGGTTAAAGAATCTCAAAGTAAGACGACATTTTGATGGCAGTGAATTATTCATGCAAAGATTTGATTTTGATGTAAAATAATAATAATGGATTGGATTTATATAGCGCTTTTCAAGGCACCCAAAGCGCTTTACAATGCCACTCTCACATTCACACACTGGTGGAGGCAGCTACAGTTGTAGCCACAGCTGCCCTGGGGCAGACTGACAGAAGCGAGGCTGCCATATCGCGCCATCGGCCCCTCTGGCCTCTGGTGGTAGGTGAAGTGTCTTGCCCAAGGACACAACGACCAGGACAGAGAGCCCGGGGATCGAACCGGCGACCTTCCAGTTACAGATGCGCGTCCCAACCCCCTGAGCCACAGTCGCCCCCAAGCAATACATCGCTGCGTGTATAAGTTCTTTTATGAAAAGCATCTTCAGAGGGGAGGCGTTAAAACATGTCGTGTCACAGCACTACAGAAAAACTGTAATATAATAGATGGTAGGGTTTGGATTCCTGTAATGCCTTCCATCTCACACGCTGCTTTCACACTAATTTGTGTTTTGCCAACTGACTGAAAGGAAACTGTCTCGGTTGGAGTGCATATTAAAAACATGAAACATCAGCCAGGCGCAGATATCAGCAGTTACACGAGGAGATGTCCTCCTCCCCAGGGTTGTTTCTCCATTTCCACCTCCGTGGGCTCAGTGAGATGAGTCAGAAGCTTTTAACCCTGCGCGCTGCAGCAGACATTTTTATTGAAAATGTGAGAGTTCACAGTTCCACCTTTGCAGAAAAAGTCCCTGTGGAGCAAAAGTGATTCACGCCACACAGCACAGACAGTCGAGCGAAGCCAAGAGAGAAACGAGTGCTCAGTGAGAAGACAGAAATAGGTTGCAGCCTGCGAGCTTACACAGACTTGGACAGCTTTTGTGTGCAGCTCTTTCTAATAAAAGGCTTTAAATACTGTAACTAATTAATGTGCTTTAATAAGAGATCGTTTCATGGATTCAGCACTCCTCTGCTCAGTCTGAGCAGAGTTGCAGTAAATAGCCCCTGTGTGGGTGCTGTCTTATCAAGTAACACTTTTTGACCACACACTCTTTAATTACACGTCATGTTGCAGTTACTAAAACCGACTGAGTAAATTGCTCGAGGGCAGTCATTAATGACTGTTTAATAGCAGCGCAGTTACTTCACTTTATGTTTTCAAGTGTCATTTCTTTCATTTTAACATGCAAAAGTGCAAAATGGAATTTAACCTATAATAAATGCACACTGCCTTATTTAAGTGTGTATGTAGGACATTAAATCTGATATGTATTTTAACCCCCCTGCTCCCCAACGTCTCACTTAAGCTCCTCCCTGAGCCTGCTGGAGGTTTCTTCCTGTTAAAGGGAACTTTCCCTTCGCACTAGTCCTGCTCATATGTTGGGGTTTCTTTCTAAAGTTTAGGTTTTTACCTTACAGTAAAGTGCTTTAAGATGACTGTTGTGAATTGGTGCTTTATATAACACTGACTTGAATTGAATTGAAATCATCCTGTAGTAACTATATTACTATTTGTGGGGAAATTTCCAGCTTTTACTAGATCGATGAGGTTTTGGCTGCAAGTAATTAATTTCTGTTTAATATGAATTTCTATGAATGTAGACAACTACATGCCAAGTAACTAGACTCAATCCCTGTATTATCACAAACACATTGCCAGTTTGATCCCGTCACAGAATGATAGCAGACTGATTGTCTTATTGCTGCTTCATCACAGTCCTGATGCTCTAAAGACACTTGGAAGGTGGCAACAGACTGGAGAGTCATCGCAGATCTGGTCCCCATCTTTGAAGCAGCCATTTGAAAGGCAACAAGACTGCATGTTCTTTGCACACGGTCAAAATAATTGTGTTAGTGCCGCAGTTTCCAACCACTATTTTTACCCAGTCTGACTTTGGCATGATTTAATAAGGTTGTGTTATGTCGGTTGTGCAGCATTGTGTGGACTTTGTATTTTGAAGGCAGACATGACTAACAAGTGAATTGGACTGAGTGAAAATAAACGGACAATAAAAAGTGTTAAGCAATGATGTAATTTAAAAATAATAATAGTATTCTGCCCTCACTAGGGTGTGAAGCTGGTTTCTAGCTTGGCAGATAGCTAACAGGTCCACAATAAACATCCAGGAGTCAGCGGATACGTTTTAGATGTTTACTGTTGAAGCACTGTAAAACTGCTACAGAAACAAAAATAAAATATTACATTTCTGCTGTAATTGCATTTTCTTTACAACATCAAACATTAAGTCATGCACTACAATGTAGATAACACATAAACACAAACTTATCCAAACCCTTTCACTGGTTATTAGGCCCACGCATTTAGCGATTAGCTTAATGCTAACATTACATGGGAAATCCCATAGACGGGCTAACGTGTTAGCATCGCGGCCGTTTTTCCTCACAAAAGAAAGTTTTCCACACAAACCTCTAAACTGCTACACAAAACTATCGCGAGAAAGCTTACAAAACAAATAGCAACTACTTACAGGCATGTGCTCTCTCAGGCTCAGCAAGAAAAAGTGAACAAAAATTTGGAACAGAAGACAGTTTGTCCAAAGAACTGTTTTTCACTGGTGAGGTACTACGGCAAGTCTGCTGGTACAAAAAACACACATCCAAATTATCATGCCTGCCTTAAAGGGGCAGCACAAATAGTTATAAATGGTAAAAGAATTAACAGTATTAATGACAATGGCTCAAAAAGTACAGATTCTCCGCAGCCTTCAGGAACAGTAAAGCCATCATTGTGGATTACAGATGACAGCTGAGGTGTGTGGAGACCTGAGAAGGCCTAAAGGATATTCACTCCAAGAAATATCCAGCCTACTTATTGAGGTCAGGTCAGTTCTCTTGTTGGATGGACCCGTGTGTTGAGGATGAGACTGCTGGTGGAGCACCAAGCTGACAGGTTTAGCAGTTCCCTGTATGCAGTCTCCTCATTGCTGCCGATTAAACGAATGACTGTTGTGTCAACCGCAAATTGTATGATGGTGTTGTTGCATGAACGGTGTTTGTGCCAGGATCAGTCCCTCGAAGCACTCGGAAATGAGAACGTAGAGTTTTTATGAATCACTTTTATTCTTGCAGGACGTTAGTAAGCGCATGTCACTGCCAATGGACATCCGCCTGCCTCCAGAGTTTCTAAAGAAGTTGCAGATGGAAAATGAAAACTCACCGCTCTGCAAACCTCTCAGTCGCATGTCTCGACGCGCCTCACTGGTTAGTGATGTGTCTGTTTTCGCCACGTTTGTCTGTCTTTTTAATAGAACTTTCTCATTTTAGCGACTTTATTGGCTCTTGAAGAAATTGCCCTTGATTGAAAGAACATCCGTCCTCTTGCCTTGCTTCTGTGTTTTTGTTGTTATCGAGTTCCTTCTGTAATAATATAATGTCTAATTATGAGCCAATTGTTTTCTTGGACCTTCTTCTTAATTAAGAGGTATTTGCTTCCTGCTCGCTTGACAGAATGAACTCTCTTGCTCTAATATAAAGCATTAGCTAATAAAAGCAGGGTGTAATCAGACTGAAGGTACTACAGCAGTGGATGCTATAAGATTAAGCTTTCCTTTTCTTCTTGCTTCTAGTCTGACATAGGATTTGGGAAACTGGAAACATACGTTAAGCTTGGCAAACTGGGTGAGGTAAGTTGTATCTTTCAACAGTTTTCATGTTTCATTAAAAGCATACACATCGGTTAAACACTCAATTTTGCTTATAAAGGCTTTGAAACAAGCGAAATGACGTGGACACATCTGCATAGCAGCCATAATAAGAGCTGGGTGAATTCTCTAAACACCTGAAATGGCATCATTGCTTCCTGTATTACCTCTTTTATCAGAGGGCCATCCTTTGTGAAAGGAAAGGAGATAATGGCGTCCAATATTTCAATGTGACACACTACAAAAACAAACCATCAACACAAGGTTATCATGTAAGCGGCTGCTCCGTTTCTTATCTTACAGGCTACAATGTGATGTTAATACATGTGTTGAACTCTGCACGATTTGTTAAACCCATCGGTGAACTTTAAACACTTTGCCGTCGTGTTACCTAGTTGTTGTGTCAAGTACTTTGGAAATGGAGCAGACTGGAATTTGTGTAGTGCTTTTCTAGCCTTACTGACCAATCAGAAAGGTTATGCTACGTTCATGCACTTCTGTCCTCTCCACTTTATCTACCTCACATCCAGGACCAGTGTGGAATCACCAGTTAACCTAATATGCATGTGTCTGAGTACAGGTCAGAGTACTCACGGGTACAGAGCAGTGTTGGTCAAGTTACTTGAAAATAGTAATTAGTTTCTAATTACTGATCACTTCTCAAAGAAAGTAATCCCGTTACTTTACTGATTACTTATTTTCAAAAGTATTTACTTTGTTACTTTGTTACTTTTTAAAAGCACGATACACAACCTGAATCAGTGTTACCAACTTAGCGACTTTGTCGCTATATTTAGCGAGTTTTCAGACCCCCTAGCGACTTTTTTT